ACAAGACTGTTGTCACTCCTTCAGGCTGCGTAACCTTTCTGGCCACCCCCCTGAGCTAGCTGGGCTAGCTGAGCCTGGGAGAAGAGTTGTTTAGGAAGTGAAAGGCTGCTCCCCACAGAGACTCAAAGCTCAGTTCCTCCTGGTGACTCAGATGGGCAGCCCAGTGGGCACACATGGTCTCTCTCCACATGTGGCTGAGTTTCACTTCCAGAATAGAGGGAGAGGCAGGGGTGGGGGTTAGCATGCTTGGGGAATCTCAGAGGGCCCTAGAGGTGTGGGAGACCCTCAGAACACAGGTGTCTCAAAGGCGGACCTACCCTCCGTGTCCCCTTCCCTGGGTGAGGAGGGGACATTAATGGCAGGTGGTGACTGGCCTCTGGGGAGGGCAGCCCAGACTCCGCTGGCCACCATACTTCCTTTTTCACAATCTTCTCACCCCTGTGGTTTCTCATGTCCTCATGTGGCCACTTCCCGCAAGCCTTAGTGGGGTGCAGGTATGAACATGGTGTCAGGCAAGGAGGCATCTGGAGGGGAACCCTGGTTTTTTCTGGGGGGACTCCCTCCCTGTACTCTAGCTCTGTCCTCTCCCATGGCTACCGATGCCTTCCCCTCACCTCAGAGATATCCCACATCTGCACAGATCAGACCCACAAAAATCACATCTTCCTAACTCGTAAGCCTTCCCAGCGAGGCCCAGCTGTTAGATCGTGTGTTGGGGATTCAGACGCACATGTATACACGTCAGCATTCATGCTCACGGGTCCACACGCGCTGGGGCATGTGTCACACACAGGGTGTTGTAGTCAGCTGACTCAGCCCCTGCAGCTTTTTGCCTGCCTGGACAGGGAGGTGTCGAGGAGGCTGAGGCAGTCCCAGGCCAGGACCTTGGCCTGGGGCTGGGGGACTGAGTGGCTTCAGAATCAAGGGTGGCACGGGCTTAAGCAGTTGCCAGATGCTCCTTGGTACTTTGCAGGCAGACCATGTGGACCCTGGTGAGCTGGGTGGCCTTAACAGCAGGGCTGGTGGCTGGAACTTGGTGCCCAGATGGTCAGTTCTGCCCTGTGGCCTGCTGCCTGGACCCTGGAGGAGCCAGCTACAGCTGCTGCAGTCCCCTTCTGGTGAGCGCCCCTCAGCCTAGGCAAGAGCTGGCAGCCTGGGTTTTCCCAAAGGGTCATCTTGGATTGGCCAGAGGAGGATGCCAGGCACCAGTCTGTGGTTTATCATCTCCCCTGTCTTTCCAGGACAAATGGCCCACAACACTGAGCAGGCCTCTGGGTGGCCCCTGCCAGGTTGATGCCCACTGCTCTGCCGGCCACTCTTGCCTCCTCACTGTCTCAGGGACTTCCAGTTGCTGCCCCTTCCCAGAGGTAAGCGTGCCATCAGCCCGATGGAGGGACTCACGTCTGCATTTATGCTTTTCCTGCACTCTCCCACCTGCAGATAAAAGGGCCTTGCTAATGCAGGCTTCTCTGTGTCCCACAGGCCGTGGCATGCGGGGATGGCCATCACTGCTGCCCACGGGGCTTCCACTGCAGTGCAGACGGGCAATCCTGCTTCCAAAGATCAGGTGCAGCCAGGGTGCAGGTGCAGGGCAGACAGACGGGCAGCATGTAGAGCCTGGAACCCAGGCTGGCTGGATAGCCCTGATTCCTGCCCTCGTGCCTTCATTCATGTGGCATCTGTACTAAGCCACACCCCTGCTGCGGATAGAGGGGCAGCACTGGGGATAGGAGGGGCAGGAGAAAGTGCAAGACTCCAGGCCCAGGCGTGGGGGTGCGGGAGGTTGTGCTGGGCCGGTCTAATGCCAACATGGTCAATGGATGCCCCTGCCCCATGCCATCTTGCTGAGGGAGGGGCTGGATCATGAGGAGGGTGAGTTAGGCATGCCTAGGAGATCACTGAGCCCTAGTGTCACCCCCAAGCCCCAGTAGCTGGGCCTGCAGACTCTGGTGCCACTAGCTCTTGCGTGACGGGGGAGTCACCTTCCCTGAGTGGACTGGTAGAATCCTGGGTCATCTGGTCCACAGGTAACAACTCCGTGGGTGCCGTCCAGTGCCCTGATAGCCAGTTCGAATGCCCTGACTCCTCCACATGCTGCATTATGGTTGATGGCTCCTGGGGGTGCTGTCCCATGCCCCAGGTACAAATCTGGGGAGATGGGGGTATGTGGAGGGAGGTAGGGGCAGAGGGTGGGGGCTAGGGGCACGGGGGTGAAGAGAGAGTCAGGACTATCTTTCCTCAGGCTTCCTGCTGTGAAGACAGGGTGCACTGCTGTCCGCATGGTGCCTCCTGCGACCTGGTTCACATCCGCTGCATCACACCCACGGGCACCCATCCTCTGGCAAAGAAGATCCCTGCACAGAGGACTAATAGGGCAGGTGAGGAAGTGGGAGAGCATCAGGTCGGGGCTGGGGCGGCATCTCACTGACTCCAAGTGTGGGAAAAAGTTCCGTCCACCCTGGGTGCCCCTCATGCTTGCTCCTCTTCCAGTGGCTTTGTCCAGCTTGGTCATGTGTCCGGATGCACAATCCCATTGCCCTGATGGTTCTACCTGCTGTGAGCTGCCCAGTGGGAAGTATGGCTGCTGCCCAATGCCCAATGTGAGTGAAGGGATGGAGCCAGCTTGGCTGTGTGCCCCCAGCCACCTGGCCCTGCCATGCACCTTATAGGGGCTCTGGGGCCTGGGGCTGGCTGGCTGGCTGCTTGCTGGGAGCCTGGCTGATCCTGGACTCATGCCACCCCCTAGTGGGGGATTGGAGCAGTGCCAGCCATGAGGCTGGCTGCTCCCTGTGCACTACTGAGCCTGGAAGTGACAAAAACCCACCCCTGTCCCACTCAGGCCACCTGCTGCTCCGACCACCTGCACTGTTGCCCCCAAAACACTGTGTGTGACCTGATCCAGAATAAGTGCCTCTCCAAGGAGCACACTACGGACCTCCTCACCAAGCTGCCTGCGCACACAAGTATCAGAGGCAGGCACAGATTCAGGGGTGGGGCCCCTTTCCTCCGTTTTGGGCCTGGCAGTAAGATCACTGCATGATGGTGTAAATGGTACCCTCCATCTTCAATACCTGGTTCCAGCTGTGGAGCTGGCAAAGTGTGGATACCCCTGAGGGTCCCCAGTGCCACTTCTGACCTGTCCTCTGTCTTCCTCACAGTGGGTGATGTGAAATGTGACACGGAGGTGAGCTGCCCAGATGGTTACACCTGCTGCCGCCTACAGTCGGGGGCCTGGGGCTGCTGCCCTTTTACGCAGGTACTCAGGGGTGGTGGTTGGGTGAGCTGAGCACTGTGGCAGCCAGCTGGACCCCAGTGCCCACTGGCCCTTCCCTATCCGCCCTAGGCTGTGTGCTGTGAGGACCACATACACTGCTGCCCCTCAGGATTTACGTGTGACACACAGAAGGGTACCTGTGAACAGGGGACCCATCAGGTACCCTGGATGGAGAAGGCCCCGGCTCACCTCAGCCTGCCGGACCCACAAGCCTTGAAGAGAGATGTCCCCTGTGATAACGTCACCAGCTGTCCCCCCTCCAATACCTGCTGCCAACTCATGTCTGGAGAGTGGGGCTGCTGTCCAGCCCCAGAGGTACATGGGAGGGGACAGCACCTTGGCCTGGGCAGGTGGTGGCCAGACTCCTATTGCTTTCTGCCCTCTGCTTCACCCATAGGTGGCACCCAGCTCTGTCAGATTCATCCCCAGCTGGAGGCGCTATGAGCAGGAGAGGCAGGCTGGAGGAGGTAGGGGCTCGGCACTGTGCCCCACATGTCGCTACCTAGAACGGCCTTTTCTGCCCATCCCCAGGCTGTCTGCTGCTCGGACCACCAGCACTGCTGCCCCCAAGGCTATACGTGTGTCGCCGAGGGGCGGTGTCAGCGGGGACCCAAGATCGTGGCTGGGCTGGAGAAGATGCCTGCCCGCCGGGCTTCCGGATCCCACCCCAGAGACATCGGCTGCGACCAGCACACCAGCTGTCCAGTTGGGCAGACCTGCTGCCCGAGCCTGGGCGGGGGCTGGGCCTGCTGCCAGCTGCCCCATGTGAGTGCCTCCCTGCCTGCCCCTGGGTAAGGGCGCTAAACCCAGCGAAGGGACGGAACGTAATGCCATTCTGCACCCCCTCCCCGCCAGGCTGTGTGCTGTGAGGATCGCCAGCACTGCTGCCCAGCTGGCTACACCTGCAACGTGAAGGCCCGATCCTGTGAGAAGGAAGTGGTCTCTGCCCAGCCTGCCACCTTCCTGGCCCGTGGCCCTCACGTGGGCATGAGGGACGTCGAATGTGGGGCAGGGCACTTCTGCCATGATGACCAGACCTGCTGCCGAGACAGCCAAGGGGGCTGGGCCTGCTGTCCCTACCGCCAGGTCAGTGCCACCCCCCACCGTGGGGCTGGGTATGGCCAGGGACCTGGTCCCGCCATGTCCAACCCTCTCGTCCCCCTCTGACCATCCAGGGCGTCTGTTGTGCCGATCAGCGCCACTGCTGTCCTGCCGGCTTCCGCTGCTCAGCCAAGGGCACCAAGTGTTTGCGCAGGGAGACCCTGCGCTGGGACACCCCTTTGAGGGACCCAGCCTTGAGACAGCTGCTGTGAGGGACAGGACTGAAGACTCTGCAGCCCTCAGGACCCCACTTGGAGGGTGCCCTCTGCTCAGGCCTCCCTAGCTCCTCTCCCCAACCAAATTCTCCCTGGCCCCCATTCTGAACTCCCCATCACCATGGGAGGTGGGGCCTCAATCTAAAGCCTTGCCTGTCAGAAGGGGATTGGGGCAAAAGCCACATTACAAGCTGCCATCCTCTCCCCGTTTCTGTGGACCCTGTGGCCAGGTGCTTTTCCCTATCCACAGGGGTGTGCGCGCGCGCGCGCGCGCGTTCCAATAAAGTTTGTACACTTTCTTAACAGCGTCTGATTTGCCGCCCTGCCTGCCCTCCCCAGGGCCCCAGAGCAAGAGTTCGCTCCACTGTCAGCACTCCCCTCCCCTTCCCCACAGAAAGACACACACGGCCTTAACCTCACCAGTTTATATTTGCTGCTGCCCACAGCGGCCATATCACATTACCCCCTAGTCCCCAGAGCTGCCCCAGCCACCAGCCCTGTGACATCGTAGCCCAGAGGTGGGCTAGTCAGCAAGCAGCACTCCCTCCCCTCCCAGGGGGCCATAGAGAACGCCCCCTTCCTTCCCAGCCCTCACACTAGTAGCTGAGGCTGGGTCACCCCTCCTGCTTTCCCACAATAGAGCTTTCTATATACAGCCACGCTACACAGGCACTGCTTCCCCCCAGCCCTCCTCCCCGGCACCTCCCCGTGGGGGCTGGACCCCCCTCCTCCCCGGCTTGGAGGCAGACACAGGGTCCCTTGTAAGACACAACCCGGCACCTACCACGGAACGGCTCCGAGGCCCCTGGGTCCCTCTCCGGCCTACGGCTGGGGGCAACGCATCAGGGCCCCGCAGGCCCCCAGGGCGCGCACCCCGGGTGCGGGCCCGCGCAGGAGGGGCGGTGCCAGGCCCGGCGCGGGCCTACTTGACATTGAACACCATCAGCGGCCGCTCCTCCCGCCGCTGCCACGGGCTCTTCTTGTCTCCCGCCTCGTCGCCCACCTCCGCCCCCAGCTCGTCCTCCGGGCTGGTGAGCGAGTCGCGCCGCAGCTCGCTGGCGCTGCTGCGGGAGCTGTCCCCGCGGCTGCGGCCCCGCCCCCGGGGTACCGTGGCCGCCCGTCCCTCGGGCGCCGCCACCTCGTCCAGCAGCGGCGTCAGTGAGTTGTCTTCGGGAGAGCAGAGGCCCGTGCGACTCTCGCTGCTGCTGGGCTCCGTGTCTTCGCTGAGCGCCAGGCGCGGGGGCGCGGGCGGGGGCGGCGGCGCGGCGGGCGGGGCGCGCTCCCGCTCCTCCCTCGGGGGCCGGCGGCGCGCGGGCCGCGCCTCGTGCACGTCGACGCCTGAGTCCAGGCTGGCGTCGGTGCTGCGGCCCCCGCCGCCCGCCTGCAGGTCGATGTAAGAGTGACGCACTTGCGAGTTGGAGCGCCCGTCGAGGGACACGAACCAGGCTCGCGGGTGCGGCTTGACGCCCAGTTCCAGCAGCTTCTTCTCGGTCAGCGCCTGCAGCTCCCCGTTGAGCTGCGCCATGGTGGACTCGTTGAACAGCACCGGGATGGTGACCGAGCCGCTGACGGGCGCTGCGCGCCCGCCCCCCCAGCCCTCGCTGCCGCCCCCGCCGCCCTCGCCCCCCGCGCCTGGGTGGCCCTGCATCTGCGGGCGCTGGGGGTCAGGCTGGGGAAAAGCGCGCGCCGGGCCGGGGGCCGCGCCCTCAGGCGGGGCCGGCTCGTCGCCCACGCCCGCGGCGCCCGCCTCGCCGCCGAGGCGCACGTAGTGCGCGGGGATCACCAGTGTGGGCATGACGTTGCGGTAGACGTTGTCCTTGAGGTGGTCGATGGAGCCGCAGAAGATCAGCTGCCCCGCCTGGCCCAGCGACGGCGGCCGCGCCAGCTGGTCCACCGACTGCGACAGCAGGAAGTCGGGGGTCTTGCTCTCGGCCGCCCCCTTGTGGCCCAGGTAGTGGTCGAAGGGCGGCGGCGGCGAGGGCGGCTCGTGCAGGAAGGCTGCGGCCCCCGAGGGCCCCCGCCGATACTCCTCCAGGCCGGGCTCCAGCCCGCCAGGGCCCTCGGCCGAGCGCGCGCCCTTAAGCCCAGCGCTCTCGCCCCCACGGGCACTCGAAGGCTCGGCGGCCGGGCGGCTGGCAGAGCGCGGCTTGGCGCGGAAGAAGTCGTCCCGGGAGGAGGCCAAGTCCCGGGAGCTGGAGAAGGCCGAGTGGAGGGGGCCTGGAGGCGGAGCCTCGGGGTCCCCCGACGGGGCGGGCTCCAGGGGTCCCCCACAGATGAGGTGGAGCTGGGACATTGAGGTGGCCTGGTCTCGTTTGTTACCGTCTGAGGGCCCCGCTAGCTGCAACTTGCGGTGCTGTTGCCTCGGCTTCAGGCAGCGCCTCCTGGAAGAGAGGGAGCAGAAGGGGCCTCTCAGGAAAGGGTGAGGGCCAGAGCAGGCCTCGAACCCCCTCAGATACAAGACAAGGGATGAATATATTGGAAGACGTGGGGAGAGTGCCTGGGTGCTCAGGAGAGATGGCAGGGAGCCGTGTCCATTTGGGGTTCCCCTGGACGTAAACTCTGCACTCCTTTGCATGTAGGACATGCTGTGAGAACCGGGAGGAGCACAGAAGCCGTCTGTGGGTGTGTCCGGCGTGGAGTCCTCTGGGAGTGAGAGCAGGGCTGGTAGGGGCAGTGGCAGATCTCTCTGGAGGGTCCCTGCCTCCCCTCCCACCTCCCCGCTGTCTTCAGCCACCAGCACCAGCCCTTCAGGTCCTTCATGTGCGCAGGAAGTTGTCCTGTCTGCCCTTGGAGGACCAGAAGTGGATTTTATGCATTTTGGGAGCCCCAGGGCCCTGTGCAGGTACAGGCCTCAGTCAGAGGAAAGGAGAAGAGAGGAAGGTGGGGGAAGCCTGGTGCTCACCGGCAATAGTAGATGAGCAGACAGAGCAGGATGAGCACCAGCAGGGCCAGGGCTGCCAGGATGGTGAGCAGGAAGATGGTGTGGTAGGTGCCAATGTCCTGGATGCCCGACGTGATGGTGACCAGCCCTGTGCCAGGTGAGGGCTTAGCGTCCAGGTGTGGATGTCCTTCCTGCCTTTCAGAAGTCCATTCTCCCAGGCCCCTCCCCCATGGCTTGTACCCCCACTGCCCCACCACTCTTACCAGCCGTGGGGGAGGCCATGGCGGCCACCCAGTACCCCAGCTGGGGGGAGACGAAGGTCCAGTAGAGCTGCCGGCCTTCCTTCCGGATTACACCAGTGCCATTGCGCACCCACAGCCCTGGGAGAGGTAGGGGTTTTGTCACACTTGAATCCCTCCCACTCAGGTCCCACTTTCTGCCCTCAGCTCCATCACCTGCAACCCCCTGAGGCACTTACCACTCTTGGGGTCGAATCTCCAGGCTGGAATGCTGGTGCCCACGGTCAGGGCACGAGTCTCGGAGGGCATGGGCAGGGACAGGTGAATGGGGCCTGAGAGTGGCACCTCTGTCCCATTACCTGTCAGCAGGTGCACGCTCACAGCAGCCAGGGGCATCAGCTCCAGCCAGGAGCCATTGCCTGAAGGATGAGGGCACAGGGCTGAGGGCTGATCCTGAGCCCAGGGAGACCCCGTCCACGTTGGGCACCCAGGTTACCTGAGCTGGAGGCCTCAGTGCCCAGGAAGGCAGGGAAAGCCCGCATTTCCTGCTGGGTGCTGGCAGGCGTGAGCGAGGCCCAGAGCTGGCTGTAGGTGGAGCTGACAGGCAGGCGGGCAGCCCGGCGCTGGAACTGCACCAAGGGTTGGGAGCGGGCCCCTGGAGGGAGAGAGGGGCTGCAGTGGCCTGACTAGGGACAGGGATCCTCAGGGACCAGAGCAGAAAGCCAGTATCCAAGGAGAAGAGGGACACTGGGTCAGGCCACTTCGGAAGGCCAGGGAGGGAGATACCTTGGGGAGAAAGCTGGGCAGTCATAGAATGTTCACTTGGAAGGGACATGGACCTGAAATCTCTGTGTGACCCTGAGCAATTTACTTGTTTTCTTAGAAAGTTTCCTTACAGAACCTATAAAATGATGCGATCCAGATGCTTATACAGTATGGTCTGCTATGTGGCAGGCACCAGGTTAGACACTGGGGGCCCAAAGTTGATTGACAGAATTCCCTGCCCTCAAGTTCACAGCCTAGTGGGGTGCTTCCTTTAGGGTACCCACTGGAACTGTCTGCTGTGATGGGAATGTTCTCTAGCTGTGCTGCCCATTATGGTACCCACTGGACTCACATGGCTGTTAAGCATTTGAAATGTGGCTAGTGTGACTAAGGAACTGAATTTTTAATGCTTAAAAACTTCATGAGGCCAGGAGTGGTGGCTCACACCTGTAATTCCGGCACTTTGGGAGGCCGAGGTGGGCTGATCATCTGAGGTCAGGAGTTCGAGACCAGCCTGACCAACATGGAGAAACTCTGTCTTTACCAAAAAGTACAAAATGAGCCAGGCGCAGTGGCACATGCCTGTAATCCAAGCTACTAGGGAGGCCAAGGCAGAATCGCTTGAACCCAGGAAGTGGAGGTTGCGGTGAGCCGAGATTGTGCCATTGCACTCCAGCCTGGGCAACGGGTGAAACTCCATCTCAAAAAAAAAATTAATTTTAATTTACTTTAATTTAATATGTAGATAGTGGCTACTGGAGTAGACAGTTTAGGTTGTGTGTGTGTGTGGTGGGGTGGAGGGGACAGACATATAAACAATTCCAATACCATATGGCCACAGCTAACATTTATTAGGCTTTAAGCTATGCTGGGCACTGTTCTAAGCAGGTTACCTATATTAACCCCTTCAGTTAGGAAAATAGCCCCTGAGGGAGGTGCCTTTATTATCAGCCTCGTTTTAGAGGTGCAGAAATGGAGGCAGGCAGGGGTTCAGTAGCTTGCCGGAGGTCACAATCCTCAAGCCCGGATTGAAGCCCCAGCTCCGGGGTCCATCCTTTGATGTGCCATTCCTCCTGGGTTGCTATTCAAATGGAGGGATGCAGAGGTCTAGGGGAACTGGGCTCACCCCACTCAGGGGAGGCCCTGTGGAGTCTTGCGGGATGTGGAAGACTCAGCCAGGAAAGAGGGAAAGGACAGGAGGACAGGCATGGGAAAAGCCCAGGCTCTGGAGGGCGCTGTCAGCTCTGAGACGGCACCTGGGCTTTGTATTGAAAGCAGTGGGCGTCATGTGGAGACTTCAAGCTAGGGGGCCACAAAGGGTCCACTGGCATCTTAGAAACCTGCAGGGGTAGTCGGAAACCTCTGGCTTGGGATCAGAGTGACAAAGATGAGCAAACAAGTAGCTCAGTGAGGCTGGGCGCGGTGGCTCATGCCTGTAATCTCAGTTCTTTGGGAGGCCAAGGCAGGTGGATCACCTGAGGTCAGGCGTTCGAGACCAGCCTGGCCAACTTGGCAAAACTCCATCTAAAAATACAAAAATTAGCCAGCTGTGGTAACACGTGCCTGTAATCCCAACTACTTGGGAGGCTGAGGCAGGAGAATCACTTGAACCCAGAAAGCAGAGATTGAGTGAGCCAAGATTGTGCCCCTTCAGCCTGGGTAACAGAGTGAGACTCTTACCTCAAAAAAAGAAAAGAAAAGAAAAAAAAGAGCTCAATGACAAAGGCTCAAGCTGAGACTACAAACTGGGAAGGGGTTCCTCACACTCCGAAACCCACCTTGGCTAAGTGGAATGGAGCCCCCATACCCTCACTGTCCTCTACTGCCCTGCACCCTGATGTTCCCCCCTGGCCTTCCTCCCCAGTGGAGGAGCCTCTGCTTCCCCTTCACTCCTGAGTCCACAAGGGCCGACCACTCCATTCCACAAGCTCTCACCCAGCTGGGTCCCCTCGCAGGTTAGGGCCGTCTCAGCACTGAAAGCAGCTGCCCTCCACTCCACTGTCCTGCCTTCTCTGGAACTATTTCAGGGCTTGCAATGATCTGTCTTCCTACTTGTCTGTGAATGTCCAAAGGCAAGGAGTGGGTCTTCTTCCTCACCATGGTTCCCAGCACCGGCCACAGTGCCTGGCATGGCCTCGGAGCTGAAGTAAGTACTAGCTGAGTGAGCCTGGGGGTAGGCAAGGACTGCTGCAGGCTCGCTCTGGGCCTTGCACTTCCTGTGCACCCGGAGCACCCAGCAGGTGCGCAACAAATCCGTGTAGACCCATGAATATAAAGGTGGCAGGGAAGGTAGGAATAGATGAGAATAGAAACCACGAGAAGCCCCAATAACTATAAACATTTATTGAACACCTTCTGTACTGTTTTTGCATGTTCGATGTGATTTAATTCTCACTCCAATTTGATGATGTAGGCACTATCTTTCCACATCTTACAAATGAACAAATTATGGCTCAGAGATGTTAAGTGACTTGCTCAAGGACACCCAGCTAATATGGGAGCAGGTCGGGGGAAGGAAGAAGAGTTGGCATGGGTGAGGGGGAACCTTACCCGGAGAGCCTAGGAGGATGTGCACCAGGTCCTCATAGAGGATGAGTGTGGCTGGCCGCTCGGGGAGCAGGTAGAGGCTGACGGATGCGTACACTGTGGGAGGGGTAGCTGGTCAGCTCCAGGAAAGGCTGGTCCCCCACTCCCTGGACAGGCACCCGTTCCATCTGAGTCCCAGCGGCTTCACCCTCCCTCAGCCCCCTCTGCATACCCCAACCCAGGCAGCAGCTGCTGGAAAGCCTCCCCCACCACCCCCAAGGAAACTATTTTGGGAAGGGGCTGATGGCGGGTCAGCTGCTATCCCCACTCCACCTGCCCCTGCACTCACAGGGCAGCTTGTCAACACGCCAGGGCACAGAGTTGGTGAGAAAGCCAGGGCGGGCAGCAGTGACCAGCACCCAGGTGCCCAAGCGATAACTGAGGGGCAGGGTGGCCACGCCTTCTGAGTCTGTGGTGCCAGCCGCCAGCAGAGTCCGGTTCCCAAACACATCCACTGAGGCCCGGGCCAGGGGCACCAGCTCCCCGCTTACATACACCTGCACCTTGATCAGGATCTCTGTAGGCAAGATAGAGTGAAGGGAGTGAGGACGAGGGAGGGAGAAAGAACTGGGGGGAGCCCCAAGATCAGAGGAAGGGGCTGTGTTTGCAAGAGTCCTTGGGGCTGAGGCTAGAGAAGGCATGATCTAAGAGCCAGCATTCACAGAGCACTCACTGAAACCCATCAGCCCATGAGGGAGGTGGGACTCTTCCCACATTTCCTCGTCTAACACATGCGCTGTGTCACATTTTCCCATTTCTAAGCTCCGGCTATGCCATCATCGTAACTGGCAGCATTGTTTCCTTTCTTACTGGTACCTGAACTAATGGGGCATCTTACAGTCAGTGAGTGGCATATTAGATTCGATAAAATATGCTTTTAGTCCACTTTACAGATAAGGAAACTGAGGCTTAAGCGTTTAGATACTTGGACTACAGTTAAGTGGAGATCTGGGATCCAAACCTGGCAGTCTGCCTCTAGAAGTGATATTCTTAACCCTGGGCCTGGAGAGAGGAGAAGGACGGGAAGGCTGGGAAAGGCTAAGTAAAGCTGGGTGCACAGGCAGAGAGGGGAAGGGTCAAGATTGAGCAGTTTGAAAGGGAGGATGGAGGCTAGGGCAGAGTTTGGGGTCTTGGGAAAAAATTGACAGGGGACACTAGGAAACTGGTCATTCCCATCATTTGTCCTTTTCCCAGAATCCTTTGCATGAGCCTATTTCCCTTCAGATTTAGGCACTCACCCCAACCCAAAGCCCAAACAAATAACTCCTGCCCCCTCCCAGCTGGTCAGCTACAGTCAATCACCATGACAACGCCCTCATTCCTCCCAGGAGATCAGGCAGGGAGCTGGGGCCCTGGCAAGGGGAAGGAGATCTGGGAGGGGGCAACCCAGGCCCAAGGGAAACTATTGTGGTGGGAGCTGGGGAGGAAAGCCCAAGTCTTTTGCTTTCCAGGGATGCCTCTGACCCCAGCCCCAGGAGAGTCTGGCCAGGCCATCAGGCAGGCGTCCTGCCCTCAGATGGGGTGATGGGGAGATTTCCCAGGCAGTCTCTCTGATCGGGGGCACCCTTTCCCTCGCAGCACAGCCCCTCACACAAGAACACACATCTTGACCCTCCCTTCCTGCTAACAAGGTGTGTCACGCTTGTGCGGACGCCTCAGTCGGGGGCCCAGGAGGCAGGTAGGGAGTGGGCTGAGTGCAGAAGGAAGAGGCTGGCACTGAGAGCAGCAGGACCTGGGGAGGTCAGGGTGCTGTGGAGACTTCGGGGAGAGAAAGACTTAAAGTGGAGCCCGACACTCAGCAGTGACAGGTGTCTTAGCTCAGGTTCCCAGTCCAACGCCACGCCTGCCCTAGGCATCCCATCCAGCTGTTCCCCTGAGTCCCCCTCCCCTCCCAGGCCAGATCCCAACCCTGCAGGGTGGGTGCACACCCTCCAGCCACTCTCACTCCGTGGTCCTCCAGGAAGCTGGCACCCCTCTACTGTTTTTTTGCACATTTGATATGATTTAATTCTTACTTTATTTTGAATCCTATCCTTCCATGTCTTACAAATGAGCAAATTATGGCTCAGAGAGGTTAAGTGACTTGCCCAAGGGAACCCAGCTAATATGGGAGAGTGGAGGTCTGTGTGCCCATGTGGGAGAAGGGAAGAGCCTAGGAGGAGGTGCACAAGGTCTTCATCCACCCCCCCACACCACCAACCAGTAGGAATTCTGAGAAGCCAGAAGGGCCTGGCTACTCCCACCCCCATCCTAGGCTTAGGAGCAGCTGGATAGAGCAGCTGGGGAGAGGGACCCCAGTCGGAGATACGGTCATTTGAGGGAATGCCTTGGGTTCAAGAGTCAGAGCCTCAGAAGAGGGAGGAGGCTGGGGAAACAAAACTGGGGTGGGCAGGTAAGGCCTGAAGGAAGCATCTGTGCCAACCTTGGGGGTGGTGGGGAAGGGGGCAGGTGCCTAGCAGATTCCCTTCCTCCTTCCCCTCAACCTGGGCTCCCCGCCAGCTGCCCCAGAGAACCCCCTATCCTGGCTCTATTCCAGCCAATTCCCTGGGCCCTTTCCCCTGGGGTGGAGGGACTTGAAGGGGAGAGGCGTCCTAAGAAACTAGGGCTTCTTCCTGCTAAGCAAAACCTCATCTCCTCCCCTAGAGATCTGGGGAGACTGAGGCAGAGGGCGACTCCTCCCCATTTCTCAAAGCCTGACATTCCATACGGTACCCACTGTATCCAGTATCCAGCCCTGCCTCAACCCAAGAGGAAATCCGAACCCTCCCTTCATCCGGACCCCACTTCCCTCATCCAGACTCCCCCACCCTGCTTTTACTGCCAGTTCCTTCGGGTGGGGGGTGAGGAGTGAACACTGCTTCAGGCGGAGATGGGGCCCACAGGCAGGGGAGGGAGAGCAGGAGCCGGGAGGTGGGCACAGGGCTGGAGTGGGCGGAGGCCCCTAAGCGTCCAGGCTTGCAGGTGGGGTGCGGAGTCCGGGTCTCGCTCCCCCATCCTTTCCTGCTGCAGGAGCCAGCCCCACCCCCACCTCACACACCCACCTGGGCCCGGTGTGTGGCTGGGGAGGGTCTCCTCCACTGCGAAGGAGATGTGAGATGAGGAGGGGGTGATCTGGGGGCGGGCAGAGGACAGGAGTGCCGGGAGGCCTGCTGAACGGGGACCCAGGCACCTGCCCTCCCAGCCGGCACTGCCCAAAGCCAGCCAGCTCAGCATGGCTCCCCGACCGCAAGCCTGCCATGCGCCCTGAGCTGAGAATCACAATGTACCCCCTTTTCTCAGAGCCCCACAACTGCCGCTCGTCCTCCGTCATAGGCTTACCAGCATTTATTTGGTGTACCCCAAATTCTAAACCAGGGGGACTGGCTGGGAGCTGTCAGGCCCCAGGGCGAAGAACCCCATTAGCAGCAGTCAATCCCGCCCACAGCCTCACCCACTCCCCCTTCTCCCCTCCCCCCTTCACACCCAGCTCCAGGCGCCCAGCCTCTGGTCCGGGCCTAGGGTGGCACCCGATGCGGGCGCCCCCACCCAGCCGGGGTCGGGAGCTAGGAACCCGCAGGGGGCTGCGGAGCGGGCGCCCGCCCCAGCCCGCCCCTGGGCGGGTGTCTTCGGTAGACAATGGCTCAGGCAGTAGCGCCTCGCGGACCAGAAGGGAGAAAAACAAATCGGGAGGGGGCGGTGGCGCCGAGCCTGGGGACCCTCGCGCTCCCCATTGTGTCTCCCCGAGACCCCCGCCCCAGCCAGCCTCCCTCTCCCCGCCTCCACTTTCCCCCAGAAGCGGCGACCCCAGATCGCTCAGCTTCCCCCACACGAATCCAGAGAACAGAATAGCCCCCAATTCACTAGCGTCGCGAAGTGGGGGCTTACGGGAGGGAGCCTGATCAGGGGGCGCGGGCCCGCCATCGCGGCCCCTCCCGGCGGAGACTCACCCTGCGGGCTGGGGGGCTCCGGCGGCGACTTGCCCGGAGCCCGGGAGGCGCCGCCGAGCAGCAGCCCCAGCAGCGGCAGCAGCCGCGCGAGGACGCTGGGGCCACTCGGCGGCGGCATCGCGGGGCTCGGCCGGGCCCTAGCGGTCCATGGCTCCTGCCTGGTCCCGCTCGCCCGGCCCCGCGCAGCCCCAGCTCTGCGCAGCTCCGGCTCCCGCTCCGGCTGCGGCGCCCGCTCAGCGCGATTGTCTCCGCCCGGAGCCGCCGCCGGCGCCCCCTGCTGGCGGCGCGCCACACCGCGGGGCCCCTGGCACCGCCCCCTCCGGGCCGCGCTCCGCCCACCGCCCCCCAGTACTGCCCACCTTCGGCCGACCGTGCAGCCCCGGCTCTGCGCTCCCAGACTCTGGGCTGCAAGGCAGTGTTGGGATTAGGATCCCATCATTCGGGTTCTTGGGGTTCAAGAGTCCCCAGAATTTGGTGCAAAAAATTATTTTTGTGTAGGTGGGGAGTGGCTGTTGCTTACAACACACTCTCAAGGGGCACGGTCATGAAAGTCTCAGAAAAGTGTAAGAACTCCCTGCTCGATGGCCCCCTTCTCCGGGCAAAACACCCAGGCAGTGCTAGGGAGATAGTATGACCTCCTATCCCCCATAAGCGTCTTCTTTCTTTTTTATTTTTTAATTTTTTACGGCTACAGTAACCCTGTTTTCTTTTTTTTTTTTTTTCAGCGACAAGTGAGCATTTATTTTTGGGCCTTTCTTCCTATGTGTATTTCAGGTCTTTTTCAGAACAAGGCCCCAGGAATCTTCACATTCAATTATGTCCCTGGGCTTGGTCGACTGCTGCAGGAGTCTTAGGGAGCCTTGTACAAATGCTAGAGTTACTCATTTACCAACATGAAACCCTAGGATAGAAGATGCAACAAAGCAGGACTCCTTCCTCCACGGAATGTGCTGATTTCAGATGAGGCGGCAGCCAATGTAGAAAAGGCTGTCCAGCCTGGCCAACATGGTGAAAACCCATCTGTACTAAAAATACAAAAATTAGCTGAGTGTGATGGCGGGTGCCTGTAATTCCAGTTACTTGGGAGGCTGAGGCAGGAGATTCACTTGAACCTGGGAGGCAGAAGTTGCAGTTGAGCTGGGATGGTGCCACTGCCCTCCAGCCTGGAGACAGAGGGAGATTCTGTCTCAAAAAAAGAAAAGAAAAAACTGATATTTTTCCTTGAAACTGGACTGTGATGAGAGGTGCTTGCTATAAACATAAGCTACTGTCTTTTCTTTTACCCTTTCCAGTTTTTGAAGATAAAGCAGGAAATAATCTTCTCTGAAGATACTTGATAAAAATTCCCCAGAAAACAAAAACACATGCTTCCACTTCATTGATAAAAATTTACTGCAGTTTGGCACCTGGGTCTAGTTCAGCTGTCAGATGAGTTAATTGAGGTGCTCACCTGGATCCCCAGGTGTGCCTATCTCCTTGAGGAAGACCACTCTATTTTTTGTAGCATGATGGGCCACTGGAGGAGGAAAAGGTGCAAGAACCATGAGATCCCCTGGAAATGCTTCCCTGGGGAGGCAATTTCATGAATAAAATGAGGTCTTCCAAGCAAATGACACCAAGCTTCCCTAGGTGCTCCTCATCATTGTGTTATCTGTCAGAGACATGGTCTCATTCTTGATCTTGGCTTGTCCACGTTTCAGAATGAGTCCCCGGACAGACTTTAGATTTGGAAATCTCCAGGTCATGTAAAGTTTCACTATACGCAGAATTTTAGGTTCTGGGGGGTGACATTTACAAAGACACCACTAAAAGTTTTCTTTAGGCAAAGTCTTGCAATGGTTCTCTGCACCAGTAAACTCTCGCCATCAATTTTGATGCAACAAAGGCCAAGGAATGTTCATCTGGCAATTCCAAGGCATGAGCTTTCACTTCTAGTCGTCTGAGTCATACCTTGTCATGTTTCTGCCTCCAGGAATCATGTAGGAGTGACTCCAGTCACTTAAACCTGGGCCCTCTTCCTTTCCTCTGCTCCTTTGCCAAAAGTGCCTGCTTTTCCTGGGTGGCTTTGAGGGCTTGATGAGCCTTCCTCTTTGTCAGGAGATTTCCTGGAGCCAAAGAAATTTTTCTTTGCTCTTGGTCTGCTATCCTTCTAGTGTTGCAGCTACTGATCATCAAGATAGAATCTTTTGCTGTCACCCAGGCTGGAGTGCAATGGTACGATCTTGGCTCACTGCAACCTCCACCTCCCAGATTCAAGAGATTCTCATGCCTCAGCCTCCCAAGAAGCTGGGGTTACAGTCGGCTGCCACCATGCTCGGCTAATTTTTGTATTTTTAGAAGAGACGGGGTTTCACTGTGTTGGCCAGGCTGGTCTCGAACTTGTGACCTCAGGTATTCCAAACGCCTCAGCCTCCTAAAGTGCTTGGATTATAGGCATGAGCCACTGTGCCTGGCCCTAAGTCTCTTATTAAGCCATTGGCAAGTTACTCAGCCTTCTGGTCCTCAGTCTTCCTTTAAAATGAGAGTTGTCATAATCTCTACCTCATAGCGTTGCTATAACGACTAAATGAGGTGTAATGACCAAATAATGATGTAAAGAGTCTAGCACAAGCCTGACAGGAGCAGGGGCGTAATAAAAGCTGCTATTGTTGGCCCAGGGTGAGGTGGGAATTCACCTGTGCCCAGGCAATATGATCCATTGCTGGGCAGGGCTAATGGCTAAGAAGCGTTTCCAGGGCTGGCAGCAGCCTTTCTCTTCCACCAGTTGGTGATTCTCCATGGTTCTGGTTCTGGCTTCATGAATGATAAACTGGGTCTCTTCTTTGTCCTCAGCCATTTAACCCCATATTTGAGTATGGCTATTGGCTTGCCCTAGTCCCAGCCAAGTTCTCTTTCCTTTCAGTTCAATATTTCTGGTTGTCATCATCAATCAGTTTCCACCTGGCAAAATCCTTATCTGGTGTCCCTTCCCTGGTTCTCTCTAGTTTGTCACCTTCTCTTTCTCACAGTATGGTGGCCGGGAGGGGACTGGATACCTAAGACAAGGACTCCATTTCCCAGAAAACAGCAGGCTCCCCTCCTTGTTGGGTCTTCTGATTTAGGGGGAAACGATTATAAGCTTTTGGACAGAATGAAAACTGCCAGTGTATCTGTCTCCTTTCTACCTTTCCCCCTTCCTTCTCCCTTTTGTTTCTCTATTTCTCTCTTTTCAATAGAAAATTTCCATCTCACCAGATTTCCCAGTACTATTCTTATGTAACCAATATTTTGGAACCTCAACACAGAACTCAGCACTCATCCCTGGTGAATTTCATATTGCTGGTTTCCACCCAACTTTACAATCTGTCAAGGCTGCCTTGAATCTGCTCCAGTCACCCATTGTATCGGATCTCCCTCCCAGACAGCAGCCATCTGCCAGGTGAAGAGTGGCTTCCTCTGCCTCCATTCAAGGGACTCATGACAATGCTGGGCAGCCCAGGGCCAGGATGGAGCTTCATAGAGATCTTCAGCTTCATCAGAATTGTTCAGTTCTAAATCCGGCTCTCTATGATCCAGCTCACATTTATGTCTTATCTATAAGGACAAATGCCAAACGCTTTGCTGGATCAAGATAAGTTGTCTGGAGCCATCCAATTGCAGTGACGGAACAAGGAGGCAATTTGACTGGTGTTCAAGGATCAAGGCTTAATCTTTTCTTAAATGCATACAGTCACCCAAATAGAAACCTGTTCCTGAAACTTGCCATGCATGGATGTCAAAATATTCTTTTCAGAATTTGCTATTTACACCTTTGGGTAAAATAAAACACCAATGGCTCCTGCTGTTGTATTGTTCATCAATGGCTTCCCCCAGCACTTCCTGTCCAGTCCAAAATCCTCCCCATGGCCTCAGGGTGTTCCTGCTCCCATTCCCCATCTCCTGGACCCTCACCCACCTGCTTCCAGCCACATGGGCTCCGTGCTTTTTTTGAACACATTAAGCCAGCTCCTACCTCAGGGCCTTTTCACTGGCAGCTGCACGGCTCAGTCATTCACCTCCCTGCTTATCTCATCAGGGAGGCCTTCCCTGACCAACCAACCTACCTAAAATGTCAGCACCCCTCCAAACACCCACATACTTTTTTTTTTTTTTTTTTGAGATGGAGTCACTCTCTGTTGCCAGGCTGGAGTGCAGTGGTACGATCTTGGCTCACTGCAGCCTCCACCTCCTGGGTTCAAGTGATTCTCCTGTCTCAGCCTCCCAAGTAGCTGGGATTACAGGCATGTGCCACCACCACGCCCAGCTAATTTTTGTATTTTTAGTAGAGATGCGTTTTCTTCATGTCGGCTAGGGTGGTCTCCAACTCCTGACCTCAGGTGATTCACATGCCTCAACCTCCCAAATGCTGGGATTACAGGAGTAAGCCACCGCATCTGGCCACCCATGTACAATCTATCACTCTCTCCTCACCTTTATTGTCACCCACAGCACTGACTGCCACTGA